CCCCAAAACCCCAAAACCCCAAAACCCCAAAACCCCAAAACCCCAAAACCCCATTATTTATTATGCTATTGAATGAATTTTGTGAATTATTATAAGCATCTTGACACTTTTAGTAATCTTTGAATATGCTAAATGCCTCTGAATTTAGAGAAACACCTGTATTAATCCCAACATCTTGGTTCACCATATTTGGGGAGATTGTATAAGGGACAGACTCTTTTTCAGTCAGAATATTGGAGCTCTTCTTCCAGATTTGATGTCCTATGATGTTCATTTTATTCCCAAGCCTAGTACATTGACAATATGCTTCTGGCCCATAATTTTTGATACACTTCTTGCAGTTATTAGATAAGATATTTGGCTTTGGTCTGTTATACTTCATTAAGTGCAAGTTGCCTTGTGATGAGCCGAGCTTAATTTTTCTTTTCTTAATAAACTTTGGTGGAGAGAAGGATCCTTTACTGTATGTCTCCATCATTTCATACTTATCCAGGTTGGATGAGTTAAAAATTGATCTTGCATAATCAATATAGTTCTTTTCTGTAAAAACAGGGGATTGGTGTGCATTTCTTGAAGAATCTGGCACTCCCAACTTCTCTTTAACTAATCTCTTGGTTCTGTAAAACTCTTTAGCTGTACTAACCCCTTGTTTAGGCTTCTGTGATCCACCGAAGGAGAGTGGGGTCTTTTTGCCCTTTGGCGAAAAATTAGAAACGGGAAGATCAATCTGGAAGAAAGAGGATACATCTTCATCGCAAGTATCAACCTTAGGCGTTTCATTCCCTTTATTTATTTTATTTATCATTGGCTTTTTCTTAGTGAAAATAATTTCATTTCCCTTGCTATTCCTTTTTACCGATTTGAAGAGTTTTCTCCTATAGAAATTAAAGATTGGAAAGTTTAATTGTCAAGGACAAAAGGTCAGAGTACTTACTCTTCTTCGTGCCCTTGCTCAAGTTCAAGAATGAAGTCATTGAATTCTATAATCTTCTCAGTGTTTGGAGCAAGTTCTAGTGGGAAATTTCTAGACTCTCTGGCTTTGGGTTCAGTCTTGATTTTCTGAGTATTTATACCTCTTTTAGACTTATTTCATTACATTTTTGAGGAGCTTCTGAGACTGGCCTATAGTATTCGGGTTCTTCCCTCTCAAAAATGCATTATTTCTGAGAAGCCTTTTTATTCTTTGGTCTTCTTGGTAACTAAACTTTGGTTTTGGTATCACCTTCGAACTCTTAGAGCGTGACCTGTGCGAATTAGATATTATTTGGCTTACTCTTTCGGGCTAAAGGTTGAATCAATTGAGCTAATTAGGGGGAACCCTTGAAATATATCCATCTTCAATTCTTTATATTTTAATTGGGGTTTTGGGGTTTTGGGGTTTTGGGGTTTTGGGG